CTCTGCTTTTCCCTTTTAGAACAAGGATGGCCAAACTCCGCCCCTCCAGCTGTGGGGTGGAACTACGAATCCCATGAGGCATTGCAAGATTCTCCCAGCCACAGACAGGACTCCCGGAGAGAGAGAGAGAGAGAGAGAGAGAGATGCATCATGGGATTTGTAGTTTCGCCCCCACAGCTGGAGGGCCTGCTTTAGAGGGACCCTGACCTGATTGTTCTTTGCTGCAGGTCTTGTCCCTCCCCCCCAGCCTGGGATTGGACAGTGAGAAGCAGCAGACTGATGAGCTCATCTCTCTGTCACTGGGCTCACGATCAGCCGACTGTTTATACTGTTTCCCCCCCCCCCCCGGAGCTCAGGCTCTCGTCTTACCTGTGTGATGTCCGTTGTCCCGTAGGGGGTGGAGAACGTGTACACCCAGCACCAGCCGCTCCTCCTGGAAACCCTGGACAAGCTGATCAAAGGGAAGCTGAAGGATAACACGTACCCCTATGTGGGGCCGAGCACACTGCGGGACAGGTGAGGCTCCTGAGGGAACATCGGCCTATGTGGGGGCGGGCACACTGCGGGACAGGTGAGGCTCCTGAGGGAACATCGGCCTATGTGGGGCCGAGCACACTGCGGGACAGGTGAGGCTCCTGAGGGAACATCGGCCTATGTGGGGGCCGGGCACACTGCGGGACAGGTGAGGCTCCTGAGGGAACATCGGCCTATGTGGGGGCCGGGCAATTTGGTGATCACATATGTCACCTTCTGTCATGTGCAATACAAGTTCACATTATATCCTCGGGGGGCGTCCTCCTCCTCAAGCCCAACATAGGACCTCATGTCCAGGAAAGAGCCCGCCTCCCTTCTATAGGTTCCTCTTCTATGGCCCTTCACCACCACCAGGGCCGGGTCAGCTGCCGACTCGTGTGACTCCAGCGCATGGGACTCTGCTGACCAATCACAGACCCGGAAGGGTCCGTAGTCCAGGAAGGGGATTGGTTTCAGAGAAGGGGAGGGGCCCGCGGGAGAAGGGGAGGGGCACGCGGGAAGACGTCTCCTTCCTCCGGTTACTGCTCAGCTTCACCCCGTTACTGCGGCCAACCCTCTGCCACACGTGGACCCTTTCATGCCACTGTGTGCGCAATGCTCATGTGACCCCTGGTAGTCATGTGACCCCCCTGGTAGTCATGTGACCCCCCTGGTAGTCATGTGACTGCTTCCAGGTCTTGGAGAAGTCAGTCGCTCCTCGCATGAGCAGGAGATATCAGTGGCATCTGCGGGCGCAGGTTGCTGCCTGCGTAGACTGTGTCCCCATTTCACCCTCCTTGTTACCCCCCTATCCCCTCCCCCCCACCCACGCTGATTATAAAGGAGATTTTATACCTTT